ATATATATATATATATATACCTATTTGTTCATCTACTTGTATGTACATAATAGTTCTATGTTCCTATTTCTGTCTTCCTGTAAATTGTTCTGTGTGTAAGAGAGCGACTTAAAACCAGAGTACTATTCCCTGTCTGTGTACACATCTGTATACAAATCTGATTCAGATTTTAGATTTGTGTCACTCTGGGTCATGAAGATGTGGATACAGAGGCCAGCACTTCACCGTGACTCTGACTAAATCTGAAACAGTAAAAGTGAAAGAAAAAAAAAGCGTGCATCCAGAATACCTTAACTGCGTCTTGTAAATGAGGCTGCTGACACATCGATTCCAGTTTATTCACTCAAAGAACAGGAACAAGAAACATAATGATAAAAAGAAATCACTTCAAATGTGATGCCACGCACACGATGGTGTGAGACAGCTTTTACCACAGCAGACACTCTGACATGTCATAGTAGAAAAAAGCACAGGTGTGACTAATATCATTAACAATGGCTCCGTTCTAGTTACACAAGTGTCCCAGTATAAGCAGCGACAGCGAGCCAGCTGAATTCAGCCGTCACTACTTTAATTATTAACATCTGGGCTCCAGTGAAAAGAGCCTCTTGTTTTAAATTATAAATCTGAATGTTTGATTAAATTTCTCCCATTCTATTGGCTGTTCCTCTATATTCCTCTAAAAATATTTGATCATGTTTAGACATTCAGAATACAGTATGTACTGTAATGTGACTCACTTTTTCCATACAGTCGGTCAGGACCACACACGGTTAGAGAATACTGGTGATCTTATGTTCACAGAACAGTAGACTAACAAACAACCCAACAGAGCTTTGAGCTTACTCCTACAGCGTATATCTCTGGAATCAAACACATAAACACTGACAGTCCAGTGGGAGATATTACTTTTGATCAGTTAATTGTCCCCCTGAGGCAGGTGTGAGTGAAAGGCATGATGGATAACTGCTGCACTGCTTTCAGCACCTCATTATGAATACCATACATAGAATTAAACCTGATGTGCTAAATTAAATTGTTTTTGTTTTGTTGAATGAAGTCCAGAGACTGACTGAAGAATCTAATTAAAACCACAGAGCGGAACTGCTAAAAAACAAGACTTGTTTTTTTCTCCCTGTATTAGGAGAAAGGAATCAGCCAAAAAGTTTAACACAAAATGCACACATTTTTTTGTAATATGGTGAGAGAAAATCACCAAAAAAGTCCACATTTGCTCAGATACTTCCAGAATACTCAGTTTTAAGACTCATTATGGTTTCATCTTTTCTCTAATGTACACAGAAGAAACTTTAACGCTTCTTTCTCATATACAAAGACCACTGACCACTCGAAATGCTGATTCTTAAATAGTGGAAAGAAATTTTATCTTGTTTCCAAATATTATTACACAATATTATTCACATGCAGAAAACTATACTAACTACACACCCACAGTGTTTCAAATGATGGCAGCGACCCTTTCTCTATACTTTCTTTCTCTGAAAAAATAAAATCTTGGTATGTTTGGCTTTGCGATCGTTTTGGTATCTGATTAAAGATTTTTGTTTTTTTGTGTGTTTTTAAATTTGTCTATAACTAAAAAGCTTTTTAAAAAAAAACAGCATTAAAAAGAATCTGATATTTCAAAGGTATTTTAATTTTTATTTGGTCCTGTGTCGATCCAATCCAAGTTAATCAACATTTCTGACAATATTAGCAACTCATCCAACAAATCCAGCTTTACTTATTCTTGGTTCAGTTAAGCCAGGAGGCCATGGGAAGGAATTGGGCTGGCCTGTTTACTGTATCACCTCACTGACCTTGCCTCCCTCACAGTCCTGACAGCTACATTATTGTTATTGGCCTCCATTGTTCCTCTCCCTCTTCAGCTCAACCAGCTGAAACAATACAACAGCCACTGTGGTGCAGCAACTCCTCCAAATCAACGTATGTTTGTGGACAATCTGTAATAATTAGATAGATGTGTAGATATTCACTCTGTCCTGACCTCTGCCCTCAAATGATCAACTCACTCTTGAGCCATCCTCGCACTTCATGGCTGATCTACTGTGTAAATATCAGTTAATTTTTTTCCCTTTGAATCAGCAACTGTGGATAGGATGTGTGGCCAGGTCACCACAGCATTTGGTTTGGCTGTGGCAGAGGAAATTTTCCCTGCTGTGAGGTTTGGTGGCTGTTTCCAGCCTGCAGAGGGAGATATTACACTGCTTCACACAACACCAGGGCTGTTAATCAAACCATATTCTATTAGTGATCACTTTGGTGCAGAATTGACGTTCTTACTGCATCCCAAATAAAGTCCATTATGATCTAATCTGCTTAATAGTCTTCAACTGAGTGCATCTGTTTGCAGAATTACCATTTGGAAACAGTGAACAGACAAACCTCCAACAGAGTGATACACATTTTAACCCTTATTATGCATCAAAATCAAAATCTCACTTGATGAATCCCTTAAAACTGGACCGATAGCTGTGGCCTCGAGCCTTCATGCCTGACCTGTCTGTTGGCGTTTTAGGGAGACAGATTGAGGCTCAAGTGCCAGTGTTTTTTTTTTGCCTTGTCACTGGCCCGCTGTCATCCTCCCCATTAAAACTCTGGCACGCCTCTTTAAAAAGCCAACCTTGAAAGACTCCCCCACAGTGAAAAAGAAAGGCGTGAGTCTGAGCACAGAAACAGGCAGTTAGAGCACACATTGATGCATAGAGATAGTGACAAGGTTGCGCAGGCAGCATTGGTAAACAATCTGTATAAGTATAATATAAACTGGGTAAGAAGATTGTTCTCATACGTATCTGTCCTTTAAATATGGGTCTGGAGCCTGTAGATGGTAAGCATAGTGTAGCATAAAGACTGGAAAAAATTGGAAACAACTAGTCTGGTTCTGACCTCTACAGTTTAATAATTAACATTAATTTATCGCATGTGTTTAATTTGTATAAAAACTAAAGTGCATGTGGATTTCGTTACCTTCTGACACAGCTAGGCTAGCTGTTTCACCCGGTTGCCAGTCTTTGTGTTAAGCTAAGCTAACCATGACCTGACTGTAGCTTAATATGTATGGACATAAGACTCATCAAACTCTCAGAGAGAACGCAAACAACCCAAAATGTTGAACTTTTCCTCTAAAATGAAAGATGGTGGTATTACATATGTGTTTTCATTGAAAGACTTTAAAACAACTGTGTCTAAGCAATTTTTTTAATGTATTTGTATCTTTATTATTCGGTTTGTGTGTGTTTTGGAACTAATCTTTGAGCTTTTTTTATTTCACCAATAAGTCAATCACTTCTTTTTGACTTCATATTAAAAAAAAGCATCTTTCCGGCAAAACTTTTATTTTAGACTTTAGAAATGTTGTATATATGTATTTCCTCATATTGAATATGTAATTTGTAATATGACGTGATACTGAGAGACCGTTTAACTGTTTCACCTGTTTCATCAGCAATGCCCTCACTTGCATCATATGATAGAGATTATATCATCATATTAACTTTCCTCATGAGTTTCACTTAATGGTATTAAATGGCAATGGAATGACTGAATCACTAGAAAAAAATCCACCTGACAAAGGTAATGACATGTGTTGCAAGCCCTGCCAGTTAAGGCTAAAGTCATACGATGTTTAAAAATGCTGGTGGGCGTAAAAAAAAAAAAGGGTGACGTTCAAAGTCACGAGAGCATTTCTTAACATAAGAGAACAGAATGCTATTTGTACGCCTACTTTTATATCAAGACTTCTGGTTGTTTACATATTGGGCAACACTGAATTACACACACACAAAAAAAAGTGAATTGGCACTGTCAAATAATCTCAATTAAGCAAAGTCCATTTAAAATCTTTAAGTGTTTTAAGTCTATTTAATGAATGTATAAAATGTGACGATCTACATGAATATACCATGATCCATACTATAGACTTCATTGTTATTGTAGGATTAGAGAGAGAGAGATTAGATAAGAGAGAGACAAAGAAAAAAAATAGGAACAAATAATAACTCCTAAAATTCACTTTATAATGTCCCTGAATAATCCACAATTTACCAAATCAGTTTTTAGTGAAATTAATGAAAGTGAAAATCTATAAAATATAGTAAACCAGGGAGTTTGTAGTCATATGGTAGGCTATGCAGCTTAATTACACCAGGATGCTTCATATTTGTATCATATAATTCTAAGAATTATTTTATGTTAAGAATAAGGAAGCTGTTATGAACATGTTTGTGTATAGTTTTTGTATTGTTGTTCTGTATGTTCCAAAAAAGGCAATAAAAATATGTAAAAAGAAAAGAAAATAATCTTTTATGACTGGATTTAACTGAGTATCAACATTACTTCTTCTAATCAAAGTCTAAAATGTTTTTCTGTGAAGCTCACAAGAACATCAACAAGTGCCTTAATACAAATTCCTGAGGCGTTTTCTCTCTAAACACCAGATTAAACAAACACATTTTTCAAGGGCTATATTCGTTTTACAGTGGCAGGTGTATCACTTCAGAAACAAGGCTTGTACAAGGACGCACACATATCAGGTATCACTCTCTGGTGGGAGTAAAAATTCCTTTTGGATACTAAAACAAAAGAGAATAAAAAGCAAAGCTGCTGTTTCTTAAGGAAATCAAACAAAAACAAAACTTCCTTGTGTAAATCACCATCGCTATCTTTGGACTTGGCTCTGCGACGATGGACAACAGCAGAAATATACTTTCTGAAAATTATTTGGCAGATTAGCTTAAGAATCTTGGCAGGCTTTGGTCAGCAGAGACCGGCTGTAACAAAGTGAGGATATGCTGACTCGACATAAAGAACACATTTAATTACCATCATCATCAACCATCCAAAAGGACCATCCGGGTCAGAGCCAGAAACCCCCTACCATCGTCTGCCAATTCAAACGCTTATTTTTAGGGGCCAAACTTCTCCTTTTCTCCGCTGGGTTCTCACGGCCCAGCTCTCTTCTTGTCTCATCCTCTCTCCTTTTTACAGCTCACACATATTCCGGTCTTTCCTTTATATTTTTTGAGGGCTTTTTGTCTTTATTGGATAGTACAACTGAAGACAGACAGAAAAGCAGGAGAGAGAGAGAGAGAGGGGATGACATGCAGCAAAGGGCCACAGGTTTGATTCGACCCATAGCCGCTGCAGCAAGGACGCAGCCTTGGTACGTGGTGGCGCCAGCTCTACCAGGTGAGCTACCAGGGCACCGCAGATTCTTCTCATTCCTGATCAGATTGCCCTGAGACTGTCCTTTTACCCTCCCATTTCTAAATATTTTTTATTCTTACATGTTGTAATATCGTTTGACATGTGATTAATCAAACGAGCAGAAGTGTATAATGTGTCCTAGGAACATCTTTTCAGGAAGCAGAGCCACATAGAGCACACGCTTTCTTGTATGTATCATAAGGACAACCCCACAAAGAATTAGCACCTGACTCTTCAGTTCTCCTGAGGTTTTTGGTGTCTTTCTTTTTTTTTTTCACTACTTTACTTGTAGTTCACTGTCATCACTCTCACAGCATCGTTTTCAGGTGCATCAGGAAGCTATTTTCTGCTGAGCACCGAATGGAAAGCATACATATTTAGTGACTAGCTGGCGAATCTAGTGGCAGATATGTCCCCCAAGAGTTGGTGGAGACCAAAAACAGAGCAAAAAGAGAGTGAAAACTGGACTTGGTGGCCAGAAACACGACTCTAAATGAATGTTGCTCATGTTTTTTTGGATGTGAAGAGCTGATGTCAGTGTTCCCTGTTTGTTCACAGCTTGTTTCAGCTGAGTTTTTGTAGGTTTATATATATAACCAGTTTAGAGCCAACACTGAAAACATTCTTGGTCTTTATAGTAGAATTATATATTTCTTAAACAAAGAATTGCGTTTCTTATGCAAAAGCTTATCTCTGTTTCACAACCCAAAGCAGCTGTTTCCTGAGCTTCCACAGAGAATGAGAAACCACAAAGTCAGACCAAGGTCTATAAAATATATTTGAATATATATTATTACATAAAGAAACAAGGAACCCTCTTTAAGTTCTAATATAACTTTTAAAACATATATGTGGCTTGTTTTCACCTAATAATTGTTCTACAGATATCTGATAATGTCTGTAATGATTCATACATTATCAGAACCCCAATCTAACAAAAAAAACACCCCAAAACAATTCAAGCAGTATGGGTTTATGAAGAAAAATCCTCTCATGGGCAAAAACTAAAAATTGAATTTCACATTGCATACATCACAGTCACAAAATGTACCTATGATAAAATACATTACGTTTATCATATGCAATTAGTGAGTAATTGGTAAGTACACATTAGTTTGGTCTTTTAATATGCCTCATAGGTCACTTCTGCTCACTAATATCTTATGTCCACTGGTCCTAAAATTTGGAGAGTTTGATCCCAATGGTGGAATTTACTGAGCGTAAATACTTCTGAAGGAGGGCAGCATCTACTGTGAGTGAGGGGGAAAATGCATTTGTGTACTGAAAGACTATAACTTGGCAAAAAGCCAGACAATATGAAAGCTCTAAACGAACCACACTGAGGTGACCTGATGGTATGATGTCCTGACTCTGACCTCGTTGTTGCACGCTCTCCCCTCTCTAACTTATTTTCAGGTTTTCTCTGTAAATCGATTTGTTTTAAAAAAGGTAGTGCTTCCTTAAAAAAGCATGTCCAGAAACATAAAACAAAAAACAAAAAAATAACAACTCCGCTTGCTAATCAAATCTGTAGCCACAGACTTTGGTCTTCTGGCTTGGTTCAGCAGAGTTCAGATGTTGCAATCATTCCAGCAGGGTGTGTGTGTGTGTGTTTGGTAAGAGGCACTGAGGACAGCTGATGTAATGACTGCAAAACAGATTTCCGAGAGCTTGAGTGACTGGAACACTTTCAAGAAAGATATTTGGAAATAGATTTTGACTGTACATGTGAAAGCTTGAGACAGACGAGAGAAAGAAATCAAATTAAAAGTTAGAAAATATTTTATTTACAACAGACCCCCCCACCCCCACCCC